ACGCCAAACAGGTTGGCCAAGAAAAACAACAGCAGTGAATGAAGAAACATTGTGAGAGCTATGGAGAAAAACCCAAAACAACAGTCTGTGACATCACCAAAAACCTCCACAGGGCAGGGGTGAAAGTATCACAATCCATCGTTCAAAGAAGACTTTGAGAGCAAAAATACAGAGGCCATACCACAAAATCCAAACCACTCATTAGAAGTAAGAACCAGATTGGAATTCACAAAGAAATACAGAGATGAGCCACAAAAGCTCTGAAACAGAGTTTTATGGACTGCGAGACCAAGATTAACCTCTACCAAAGTGATGGAAGCTCAAAGTGAGGAGAAAGAAAGAATTTGCCCATAATCCAAAAGCCAAGCTCATGAGGTAGCATCATGGCTGGGCTTGCATGGTTGCTTCTGGAACAGGCTCACAAATCTTTATTGATGATATAATTTATGATGTAACTCATGATGGCTAATTCAAAAGTTTGAGAAGAGAAATGCATCCAATCTAACTGCACCAAGACAATGACCCAAAACACACTGCCAACTTCATCAGAGGCAAAAAATGGAAGGTCAAGGTAAAGTCAATTACCAGACCTCAACCCAACTGAGCCACATTTCACCTCCTGAAGAAGAGACTGAAGGAGAAGCCCCCCTAAACAAACAACTGAAAGAAGCTGAAGTAAACGCCTGGAAAAGCATTAAAAAAGAAGAATGCAACAGTTTGGTGATGTCAGTGGGTCACCGTTGATGCAGTTATTGCAAGCAAGGGATATTCTAACAAACATTACATGTTTTTTACTTTAATTTAGTTCAAGTCTATCTGTTCCTGTACTCTGTTTCTATGTTCACTTAAAAATTGGGTGGTCTGCCAACAAAGATGCCAAGTTGTTTAACACAGCGAGACGTAAACATCAGCAAATAAAAGCTGAAATTCTGATCTATCGTCTCATATATAGATTTCAAACCCAAATGTCTTCAGTTGTGGCCTTGCGGTTCGAAAACTTTCCATATGTCTACGAAGCGGAGGCCCACCACCTCCCACCACCTGCCTGTCTACAGCTAGTGTAATGTTAACCCTGTAATCCTTGTAACTTTAAAAGGCTTCTACCAAGCTTCCACAAACTTTTGACGGACAGTCTAAGTAGGGGAAAATGAGCACCAGTAGTTCTTGTGACGGCACAATTCCACAGCCACGCGCTCCTTCTGGAGAGCTTGAGACGAGTCTTGCCATCCTCTAAAGCTGAACGTGGGTGTGCGGTGGCATATGCACTGGCAGTGTCACGACACACAGCAGGACGTTACGTCCATGCGTACGTGAGTGCATGTGTATGTGTGTGTGGATGGAGGGGGAGGCAGGGGGTCTTGCTTCCTCCAGCAGTGTGAAGCACGTCCGCGCACTATGTGCGTGAGTCAGACGCAGCGGCACTGCGAACTGTACTGCTGCACTGTCACCAGAGGAGAGAGAGCCGCCCACGCAAACTCTCTTCCATCTCACACACACACACACACACACACACACACGGCATGACAGACGACAGGAACACGCGCAAAACACTCAGCACATCAGTCGCTGGCGCTCATAGCATGCTTAGTCATGCCGACTTGTGTCTTCACATATGTGCATAAAGACACAGAGACACAGAGCTGACTCTCCAACCCTCAGACACATACATACACATTCGCACATGCAGGACAGAACCTGCATGACTTATTTATTTATAGTTAACAAGTGATTTAAAAAAGGAGTCATAATTTGTCGTATAGTATGGTTTGGTACTAAAGTACAATAATTTTAACCCAACTTTGTTAAAGTTACAGTGCTGTGCCAAGATCAGAGACCACCCTTCACTTATTTACCTTCCTCACTCAAAACAGTTCTGTATAGATTCTGTGTAGTTTTGGCTGCTTTGACCCTTTTCATCCATTTAGCTCCACTAAAACAAGGAGAGTAAGAAAAATGCTGAAGCACTAATGCAGGCTCTGCTATAGACACTGGGAAGCTGCTCTTTGATTGTGGACAAAGAGATCAAAGCCTTCCTTCTGTACACAGGGACAGAGCTGGATAGGGACACACTGCAGGTATAGCAACCAAACGTTGTCTGTTTTCCTGCTATGGTAAAGTCTTCTGTGGGTTTTTCTATCCTTTCATTTTTTCCGTTTCACTTCCTTTGTGTTTCCATTGCATCTTCTGTGAAGAGTTCTCACTCTTTCACACTGATGCTATTAAAGCACTTCTCAGGATATTTCAAAGTCCATCACTCTTAGGTTTAACAACACCTCAATGAAGAGTAATCTTGCTTAAAGGGAGAAATATACTAGTAGTTTTGAAAACTATTCAGCCACTGACCGCTCCAGTAGCTGTCCACCACATCCTACGCAAGGGTCATCTTGTTGAGGTTCAGAAGGGTGGCTTCTAATTCAGGATCAGCTGATATGTGCAAAATTGTAATTTGCTGAGTGCCTCAATCACCGAACGAGACCTTTCAATGACTCAATGATAATTTCATGACTTTTTGAGACCTTTGTTAATTTTCTAGCAAATTAAGCACTTGCTGTGGGAAGGTGGGCCGTACAAGTCAGAGCCTGCGGCGGAGCATCACTTTAAGACTAACACAGGCAGAAGTCTGGCTTGTGAGACTATCAGCAGAGAGTCTGATGCTTTTCGATGCAAAATGTGGCCAAGAGCCGCTTGTCTTCTCAGGAAGAGGCTGTTTGACTGACATGCCAAATGACCAATCAGGTGACTGTGAAAAAGCATATGATACAGCTTACTCTACAAGGCTCACTTTATGTCTGTTACAATCCCTGGTCATAATAGCTTTTCTGTGCATCTTTTTGCGGTCATTTTGTGTGTTCCTCCATTGTTGTATTATGTGCAGATACGTGATTGGCCACTCGAGGGCGCCCTCCTGTAAAAGGTCATCAAGCTTCTATCTCTGGATTAAAATAGCTAGCATAGCATAAATCACTAAATGCTAGGTAGCCTAGGTTTGAACTTTGAATCTTTTCACATCTTTTCATGTCTTTATTTTTTGCAAATTATGGAGAACAGCATTAATAAGAGTATCAATAAGTATCAGTGTTGATCAGCAGCTTTGGTATCGATATTGATAAAATCCTAATGATACCCATCCCTAGTGTTTGCAGAACACAAAACAAAACTGTTTTTCCTGTCTGAATGATACAAAATGCTGTGTAGAAGTGCATATGCACAGACGTGCAAATAGCCAATCAAAATGCAGCTGACATAATCCCAACAGTTGTGGTCAGCACGGTGTGCAAAAAATATCAGATGCTCTGTTTCTGCATGGGCAGAGCATTTGAACCTGAACCTCTGAACCCAACATAACCAAGCACCTGCAGGACGGATTATTATTCAGGCTGCGGACTACTAATATTTCAACATTTGATTAAGATATTGACCATTATTATTGACTCACTATGATGACTGTGTGAATCGCACATTCTACATCAATGAGAGTCCTTCAGCAAGACCTCTAATGATGCGTTCGCCTACCTCTATCACATGATTACATTTTAAGTTGCTCTGGATAAGCGCATCTGCCAAATGCATAAATGTAAATCTAAATGTTAATGTTTTTAAAGGTCATTCTGGCCTAAATTAGCATTTAATAGGTTATTTGTCAAGTGTAATATTCTGTAGTGCAGCACTGTGTCCCTCAGCCTCGCCAGTTTGAGAGAATTCACAATTTTGCGTGCTTATTGTGTCTTTTGTCCATCAATGTTTCTTACTACAATACCCAGCATGCATTGCACAAAATATATCATTCAACCATTAAGAATTACCTCTACAGCCACAAAGCTACTACTACTGCTAGTGTTGCCACCAATGTAGAGGCTTATAAATGCAGACGTGATATTTGGCTTCCTAGCAGCTTCCTTCTGTATTTGCAAGGCAGCAGGAAAAAAACAAAAACAAAACAGCAGCCTGCCTTCATGTATCAGAAGCGAGTTTTCCTAGTTTTTAAAATGAAAAATCTCACTCTTGAGGTTGTTGCGGCATCACTACATTAGGAAAGTAGGCATCTTTACAACAGATGTAGCAACGGATACAGTTTCATTTTGGCTGAAGTAAATAATGCGCCGACACATATACTCTCAGAAAAAAGGTTAAACTGTCACTGGGGCGGATCCCCTCTTGTCACTGGGGTGGTACCCTCAAGGATACATCTCAGGACCTTTAGTCAGGGAACACAACTGGACCATAATCCATTGAAATTATATTTTCTAAGTTATATTGACTCCACACACCCCGTCTCGTCTCCAGGCTTTTATTTTATTGTTCTGTTTTAAAACATTAAGTTATGAATATATGAATATATGAATATATATGAAATATGTACTTTTCACCTGGGAAAAACTTATTTAAAGTACACAATTAGACCTTAAAACTACTGTTGTACATTTGAGGGAACAATTACATTGTTTGTACCCTGATTAACGAAAAACATACCTGCACAGCACCTTTATTGTCTTAATCATTTTCATTGGCCAATCGTCTTCCATGTTCTGCAACAAGCACAAACTATTCAGTTTCATCAGGGACTCTCAGAAATAGGCCAGCACATGGCCAAAAAAGTGAGAGAGGCGAGAAAGTTCTTTGCCAATTCATTTCCCTGATTGAGCTGGTTATAAAGGACAAAAAGCCGACAGAAAGCCACCTTCCCCGGGGATGAGGCCCAAGCACTGAATGGAATTATGGGAACAAAGCACGAGACAGCAGGGTATCAGTGGTCATTAGTGGCACGCGGGCGATGCCACCCTCATGCCAGTGGACAGGTGGGAGCCCACCAGATGCTCATCAATATGCTTCTGGAGCAGCAGCAGCAGCCAGGCAAGCTCTCTTCAGAGGATAGAGGGATTTAGAGAGACAGAAAGAGAGAAAAAGAGAGAAGGGGGAGGAAGAGAGAATACTGCGCTGCATTTTATGACAGCACGTACTTTGCTGCTGCTGTGTTTCTGTTTTGCAAGGGTGAGCGGTACCTGTCTCTGGATGATGGCCAGGCTGTCGCGGGCTTTATTCAGGAGCTGCTCCAGAGCTTTCGGGTCTTCCACGCTCCGGTTCTCCCTGAATGCGTCACGCACCCTGCGCAGGGCGTACATCCTGAGGATAGAAAAGACACAGAGGATACAAATGGACGTTTATCATAAGCCAGGCCTATTCGTTTTATTCATACTGTGGTCCTTTTGTTTATTATGTCACATACAGGGTGGGAACAGGGTACATTTTTCAGTCAGCATCTAAGAGAAAGTATGCAGCAAAAACTGGGTGTGTACCCTGTTTAAGTTATAAAAACATCTGGAAATACGGGCCTGCAAAGAAATCTCAAAGGACGCTGCATCCATAGTATCCACACAATATTTGCACTGTTACAGTCCAGTTTTTAGCCAGTTCATAAACAGTTGAGGGAGATGACGAGTAGAAGTTGTAGCAAAAACTTGCCTTTATTTTTCATATTAAGTTATTTAAAAACAGTTTACAAGCCACAAAGAGGGCACTACTACAGTGAGTTAACCACTAGTGTTTAAAGCCCACTCCAACAAAGCCAACTTGCTGGATTAACCCCAAGATGGCCTGAAATTTCACCTGCAGAAGAAAGAGACAAAGCAAAAAATAAAAATAAAAATAAAAAACAGGCTCCGACTGTCCTAATCAGAGACCCTTGTAAATGAGACCAGATCCACATGCCAACTCCCAACTTCACCTGCAACAAACTTGGGGCAAAACAAAGCACACAGCCCACAGGATCGGCACAGCCGCATATATGTACCATTCTTCGTCCAGTGCATACAGTCCACATATGAAAACTAAACTGCAAAATAAAAAGACTCATTCTAAATTAATTTTTTGTGACGTCACAAAAAACAGCAGTCACATATCTGCCTGCTCAGCATGCAACAGTTTAATGCTGTCCATTCATGCTGAAGCTCATACAGCTTTTTCAATGAGGCACAATACAGGGCAGCCCATTAAAACAGAAAAGAGGTCGGAAAATTTTGGTACACGAACACATAATGTCATTAGTGGACCTCAGGGAAAAAATATGGGCATACAAATGCAGGATATGAGCTCTTTAACATTTCTAGCCTTTTAGCCCCCATTCACTGAGAACTTGTAGCATTAAATTTATTGTAGCTAATATTGGTAACAGTGCTAAAGTTGTAAGATCAGATATCTGACAGATAGGGCTGGCCAATCTGACAATTTATATCGTTATATAATGATGATAATGTTAAACTGTCACAATACAATATAATACAATACAATAAGCTTGTAGAACACTGACCAAATGCATGTTTCATTCCAAAAACAGCAAAATTAGTCCCATTTAACTGGATTAAGTGCACACAGTGTGCCAAAAACTGAAAAAAAAAACAAAACAATTGTATTAACAGTTTTTGATAGTATTTTTAAAACATAGCATTACTAGTTCTTTTAATCTGTACCAACTGACTAGATGTCTGAAAAAAATAAATATTGTGACGTATGAATAAGGCTAATGAGGGGATAGGTTCACAGAGAACTGCTACAGTGGCTAACAGCGGAAAGCCAGCAGAGACCAACTGACGATCAAATTTGCATAAAGTTGCCAACTAGCTTTTAATCATTATTAGCAACATGATTTTTTTTCCCCTCAAAATATTCCTTCAAGAGTTGAAAGTTCAGGAAACCTCTACTTTCTTTTTATCAAAGAAATCCCAACAACGGTTCACACTTCTAAAAGTCAGGAGGGAAATCTCAAGGATGCAGGTGAAACTTTCCACCCTTTCGTCTCAGCATGTGGCGTTCCTGCATGAACATGAACATCTCCTCCCATTAGTGGGCTGGAGAGAAGCTCAGCGCTCTTTCGGAGGCCAGGCTGCTCACAGCCTCTGAAATGACTCCAGATGCAGTGAGCAGGATGCGCTTCTCCCCAGGCAGAAGGGGCTCATCCCACCACCACCATGTGCCGAAATGAGCGTGAGCCAGAGGATGGAGAATAAGTCGGTCATGCTCTCTCACTACCTGCCACGGTTTATTAGCGGCAGTGCTGCGCAGCGCACACTCTAAATAAGCAGGCAGTCATTAGGCGACTGGTTACGAGGATGGAAGGTGACAACGCCTCACCACTCTGAAGAGTGAAAGAGTGAGTAAGAGCAAGAGAGAGAGTGTATGTTTTTTTTCTCTCTCTCTCTCTGGCCTTTTCATCTGGCTACACACAGTGAGGAATGAGCAGGAGCCTCGATTGCCAACATCAAAGTGGCTGCCTGGCACCAGAGGAAGTGCCTCCACCCAGACGCACAGTGAGGAGACGAGGCAAATCCAGCTACAGGAACAGCCACAGCTGAGCATTCACACATATCACTGAATGAGGGAAAACGAGGGCAGAAATGAGGGGGGCTGGAGGAACAGAGAGAACAGGGTATGATATCATTATCATGATAAATTACATCTTGATAAACTGAACACCACCAACTACATGTTTCATGAAAAAGAGATTTAGGCCCAATCCCATTTTACCCCTTGCCTCTACCACTTAGCCCTTACCCCTCAGTTTGCACAATCACATGTAGGGGTAGGATGTCCCGATTTTTGTTGAGATGGAGGGGCAGTGTTATGAGAAAAAAAAAACAAAAAAAAACAGAAAAACCAGCAAGATTACTGCGCAAGAGACCACAGAAACCCACAAATGTGAGTATTTACTCCATTAAGAAAAATATGATAACCATTGTATCTTAATGTCAATTTAATGGATTATGGTCCTGTTCTTCATAACAAGCAGAAACATCGCTAGTAGTATGTTGACGTCTTGGTAGCTAGCTAGCTAAATTTCCCTTTCCACCTTCAATGGTAGCCAAAAACTATTTAAGGAGAAATGGGAAAATTCCAACAAGAAGCTGGTGACTTCAGCTTCATATCACTGAAGAATTAGGGGTGGTCGATAATAAATCTCTAGACGCTCGAGATGCACTTTCGGGTGATAGGCGTTTTGTGCTTCACTCACTGTGAGGTTGGGCGCACAGTGCTGCTTTCTGCTTTCCTCATTGCTGAGTTTGAGCAGTGCTACGTCATCAGCATGTGCACTGTAGATCAGCACAAGACTGAAACCATCCACCTTCAAATCAAATCAAATCAAATCACGTTTATTGTCACATCACGTTTACACAGGTGGAAAGTGAGTGAAAATCTTAGGTGCGTAGCCCCTTTGCAGAATTTAAATACAAAAAAATATTAATATCTAAGAAAAGAAAAAAATATTATATATATATATATATATATATATATATATACACAGTATATACAGAATATACACATATACACAATATATACAGTTTTGCAGATGCACATGCAGTTTTGCAAAACAAGTAACTCAGTGTAAAACTAAACAGAAAAAGGCTGGTTTGGGTCATTACGTTGCCCAGACAAAGTCTTAGTGGAAAAAAAATGGTCTCGCATCACGTGTAACACTACACCTGTGCCTGATGACGATTAACTGAGCTACAGTTAACAGTAACAGTCATCACTAATGGTACAATCTCATTTCTCACTGTTTTAAAAAAAAAAAAATTGTTCATTTATCGATTTATTTCATGCAAACCATGGCATGACAACAGTACTTGCATAGGTAAACATAACTAAACTTTTAAACACAGTGGGTGATGTGATATCCTGCATTAATATCACATTTATTTTACAGAGCATAGATAAGATTGTTCAGGAAACACAGCTTCGATGGTAAATGTGCACAATGCGGCAGACAGATATTTTGCCTGTACAGAAAGGTATACATCTAAGATATCCTCACACAACAGCGTAAAATCAGGTAAAACGTCATGTCTCAGCTCTCCTGTCTCAGGCTGGGGCCGCGACAGTCGTGAAATACTTGCTGACAATTAATTATTACATAAATAATTGTGATTTCATTGTTTGCAACTATTAAAATACAAGCCTAAAGAGGCCAGATTGGCTGATTATCTACTGTACCTGCTTATGATGTTTACCTAGCAGCCAACACTGCTATAGTGCTGAATCAATAATGTGCATAGACACTCACACAAATGACTACAGTTAAACAGAATTATGTGTGGAGTTACATGCGAGAATGTTAAAGCTTCACGTGAAAATATAAGCAAAGGAACGTTCATTCTGCCAACACACATGCTTAAAACGTTAGAATTAGCAACACAGGTAACAAATGAACAAACATTACCCAGCGCTGCTCTCTAAATGTTGGAGCATCAAGATGGAAGTTAACAGTTTTTGTTTTAATAAGCCCCATGATATCTCAAAAAATGCATTTACTGCTTTCTGAATTGACATCTATTTGCCTCAGCTCAACACACCAAATACACATTTTGTTTGATGCAGCATAAAATGACTGAAATCCAACAGGCGTGAAAAATGATTGCAGTCGGCTTTAATAATTGTCATCATCTCAAATAACTGCGATTAGTGATCATGTAATAATTGTGGAAGGCCTACATCAAGCTAAACAGGCCTTTTCAAACAGCCTTAGGTGAAATGGCTTTGGAAGAGAAGGCACAAAGAAGGACTAAGCTAAAGGGTCACAAACTCTCAGTCAGTAAAGTTGGTGTGAGATTGGCAATTTTTTTCTTTATTACTAGAGTAATTACAGTTTCACAGCCAAACTAAAGATGACAGTATACTTTAAACACAACTTTTACTGAACTTCATGTTCTTTTATTTGACAGAGATTCAGACTCAGCTCTGCTTGCTCCTGCGTCCACTTCAATGTAAGGGACCGTCACAAAATTACTGGATGAAAAGGTGAAGGACCACCTGCTCAGACATAGACATAGACTGTAGTGAACACAGTACGTAGCCTATTAAAATGAGTCCTGTTTGTGGCTATTGTTTTCATATGTGGAGTTAAATTTATATTCTTCAAAGAGAGGCTCATGTGGGGTGCCCCCGGTAAAAGTGTCCAGGCTTGTCTCTTGGCTCCTCCCCTGACTGCAACCAACTACCTTTGCTGACCGCTATAGTCAGCAGGAAACTAAGTCAAAGCTGAATTTAACTGAACTTTGAAGGCAGCGGCAACATGACAAAATAAAGTGGTAAAGTGGTGAATCCTAGCGGCGCATGGCGCTCAAAGCAGAGCA